ATTAAGAGTGCCTGATGTAATGGCGACGTGAAAGACGAGGTAGCTGATCAATGCATTCCCCTCGACGCGAGCTTGGCAAACACAAGATGTGTCATGGGACAAAGGATGATACTTTCGACGTAACACTTGCCAAGCAGCCAAAAAACACTGAAGAGAAGGAAAACGGCGTGCAGATGGATGGAGTTTGAGATGGAATAGGGGATTTGTGAGGCAGAGGATATTGAGATGGCGAGAGAGAAATATGGGTGCAGAAGCAAGTTGATTTCAAACTCTGTCTACCCGAGCAACGTACTTTGAAACGTAAGCACCAGTAGGACAGTCAAGTATTTTTCGGGATTGAAAAGCTCGTAAAATCATAAGCAACAGAAATGAGTGCGTAGAGTATTTTTGAATAATACAGCATTGTTTGATAAGGCGAGGGTATAGCGTGTAGAAATATAGAGACAAATAATTAATTCACATCAAAAAATTACAACGCCTCGAGAACAATCATTTGTCTATGTCTTGTTAGTTGAGATGCTAGAGCGTAAAGCTTATACATTATCGACATAAAGAACCAGATGATTGTCAAATTACAAATTAGCCCCGCAGAATGAGAGTAATTCGTTATTTTTAGTATGAGATGAGCCGAGCGAAAGGTGAATAGTGTTGCAAGTATACTGCAATTTCGCAGATGTGTGATATGAAATATTTATAAGATGATTGGAGAACTAATATATTTAACCCATAACATTATGAGAAATATGTTTGAGTATGATGCCGGTATTATTATTATGGATTAATGTAATTGATATTCGCGCTGTGGCCAAAAAGGCATAAATCGTAATAACAAATATTTTCGTGAAACGATGAAGTTAATGAAATAGTAACCGCAGCCTTTTTGGATATACAAAATAGCAGCGATATGGAGGCTATTATCACGGAATACAAGGTACAAACACGGAACTTGCGCCTTTTGATAGTATTCAGGTACGCAATCAGATGACAGTAATTATAACATGTACGGTAGGCAGTATAGCGTTTTCGAGTAGTGTCCAGCGCTCTTACCCTGACCGAGTAAGCCGAGCAAGTGTAGTAATGCTAGAGCAGGTGTTCTCACGAAGTTGACATACTTCATCGCAAAGTCCCGCCCTCCTATGAATTAATCACGCGAGGACGAATCGATAGCGGTTGATGTACGCGCAAAGAAAATATAATTCACACACAAGATCTTTCGAATGAATCTGCGTATCCATAATCTCCCAACATGTTTTCTTGCGCCATTTCTTTCGGATTCTCTATGAGATCATTTTTTGTCCTGTGGAAAATCACTAGGCAAGTCGCGATATCGTGAAATTGTATTGAGGAATTCTAGAGGTAGACGATCCTTCCCTTCTACTGCGATAACACCGTGCGCTCGGCAGCGAAAGCACTCGTTGCGCGGGCTTCGTGGCCCAGTCGTCAGGCGCCGCAGCAGACACGATCAGGAGCGCCACACGTATCAACGTGCGAGGCGCGGCCCGGTGCCGCGCGCCGGCGGCGCGGATTATCCGTCGGATTTCGCGGCGCGGGGACACGTATTTACGCGCGACAACTCATACCTGCGCGGTGGTGTTCGTGAGTGAGTGGCGGCCCACGCGCGAAGTGCGCGTGGGCGTGTAGATCCGTCGGATGTTGGGATCGGGCCCGCCAGGTGGGGGAGACGCGTGAGGGTGTGCGGATAATGCGGGATCTGATAACGTCTATCATTCAAAATTACATGCCCACCCCGCCCGCCAACACCAGCGAAATGTAATTCACTTTCATATCGATAGCAATTTCTAGTTGACTGTTTTCTAATATAGATTTTAACTGCATATTAATATCATAAGACAATAGCTACGTATTGTTGATACAAAAAAATTGTACTGGTGCACTTTAATTTATTTTGTTCGCAAGTTTTATTGAGAAACCATTCAATGTCATTTAAAGATATGACTCAGATAGGTAAGTGAATCTATTATATTTATCTAAGAGCTGTACTCTTCATGTTCTCTTTTTATCCAATCAAGAGTTATTTCACAAGAAGAGTCAGACTAATATTCACAGCTCCCAGACTCCTCTTGAAATTCACTAAAAAGCACCGCCACCTGTTTTGAATTTTTTAATTAAAATACGTTCAAAAATCAATACTACTTAAACCCCTCCGATTGGACTGACTAGCAGCATCTCGTGTCTAAAAACATAAACGATATATTAATTTGGCCAGATAAATCACATTTATATTTCGTGGTAAAACCGAATTTGACCAACCCTAATCATCGTTTGGGCTAAATTGCACCTGTTGTAAACTCGTGTAGCGGCGGACCTCAGAAACCCATAACCCTCGCCCTCCGCCCCGAGGCTTGGGTGCACGCCCAGGTCCACGCGCTAGGCGTCCCCCTGCCTCCGGCGCCGCCGAACAACCCGCCCGCCCCGCCCCCTCCCCGTCGGAGGGCCGTCGAGTGTCGCCCGGGGGCAGGGAGGGGAGAGCGGCCAGGGGTACGGACCCACTTAGAAGAAATTATCTTCGCTTCCCAGGGGTCAGGCCCCGCCCCCACTCGGCCGCGCCGGAAAGGGATCGCCTCGTGTCAAATCTCAGCGCGGAAGGTGACAAAAGCGCTTCATTGGACGACTTGCGAGTTTGCCGCCTTTTATTAATGCGCTTGTAAGCGAGAGATTCTCACATCTTTGGAAGGAAAGCTACGTTGAAAATTTCACATTGAGGGGTGGACTGGTGAAATGGGAAGAAATGAGATAAGTCAAAAATGATTTTCTTATCTCAACTCATAATTTAAATTTTCACTTGGTTTCTTCAGATAATTAGAAAACCAAAAAGGAAATCATTGTCAAAATTACATCAATAAGCAAACTAATTCAAGCATCTTATAAAACCACCTTAGATGTGAATAACGAAAATCAATTATTTTATAATATATCACAGTTCCATAACTCACTATATACAAGTTTTAAGAACGCTATAAAATGCAATTGTTTCGTACATCATCGACAAAATTGCTTTCAGCAAAATATAAATTTTCTACAGTCTCCAGCTGTATTAATAGCAACGTGATTTCGAATGAGACATTTTTCTCCCAATTTCTTTGCTGATTTTTAAACCATTTGGATTAATTACCTCTACTCTTAAAATATCTGCGTCTTTTTCAAACTGTATTACATTATTATTTTTCCTCCTAATCACTGAGTTCGTGACTTCTCAGCCGTGATCAAGAGTTAGCTGTCTTCTCGGGTGGAATAGAAACAGAGGTTTTCGACGGGATTATTTTTAAACGTGAAATATGGGCTTTCTATTGTGGCTTTATATCTAATATCCTCCGACAGGCTGCGTCCAAGTCGGAATCAATAGTCTCAGGACGGGGCCTCGGCCCCTGTAAGAGCTCAAACGAAGATGGCGGGCGCGCGTGCTTACTATCGTGAAATATTAGACGAATATGTCTTGCTCGTGGAGATAAAAGCCGGTTCAGGAAACAGGAGTAACAGGTTGCTTGCTACGTTTACAATGCCCTGCTAGTTGCTGAAATGTTTACGGTGCCGCGGGTCATGTTAATGTTAGAAACAGTAGCTATCGTTTCACAGAAAATCGTTCAGTAGTTTTTGTGGGACGGCAAAACGCGATGTCAACGTTCTTTGTACAATTGACTCAACGATTTCCAAAAATTGTGTGTTTACACAAACATGCAAGTTATCATCATGGTTACTCGAATACACAATACACAGTCAATACACAAACATTCCATACACATTTCAATTTCAATAAAAATAAATATTAGATCTGATACAGAAGAAAATTTTTAGTCAAACACTCAATCAAGTAATGGCTTCTATAAGTGAAATACGAATAAATCATGTTTAAGATTGAGAAGAAAAAACGGTCACAAGAGCTTTTAGGTGCACAATTATTTTTTTTAAATTTACTATTAAATTCAACTCCTTATAAGGAATATTCGTTTATTACCGTCCTTATTAATAATGTACACGCAAACAAATTAAGACGACCAAGTTTTTCTCAACGAAACTGGTACTTCAAGGAAAATTCGCAGAGGAAGTAACTGTCATCTAACAGTTTCGCAATTATTTCGCAATTTCGTCGGACTTTTTTATCAGCCAACATTAACACATAGTTTTTTACTCTAAATAACTTATGTACGTAACAGAAAATGAGATATATTTATGAAACTGGCTCGTGCGGTGTGAGCTGCACTTTGTACCTTGAATGTGTCCATCACCATCAATAACCTTCACAGGACTGTTGTGTTCAGACAGGGATCGGGCTTTCGTCGCGCAATAACATGTTCAGAATAAAAAGAAAGTTCTTTGTAAGAAAGGGGCACTGGAAATACTATTCTAAGAAGGGGAGATATATTATTTTATTTTTTCTAACATTTAATAGAGATTGAAGCGAAGAAATTGATGTTTTACGCCTGACATACTTCAATCAAAATTTGATGCTTATAACAATAATGTTTCGTACCTGCGATTTTCAATATTGTATGGATTGAGGTATTAACTGCAGTAAGGGAAATTCTCCAGTCAGCGATAGAGACAAAGATATGAAGGAAAGAAGTGTCAATAAACCGTACTCCTAAAAGTAATTTTCAACCATACAAGTATATAGGTACAAAAATGCATAAATGCATTATGTATTTTGCATTTCATCAACACACACAGACAAACAATAGCTAAACAAAATGATCTGGTATGAACATTTATTCTGAAGAATCTGCCAAACGTAAGGCCCATGTTCTTTTCTGTATGTCCCCCTTAAATTGACAACATTCTGACAAAACTATGAGCGAGGTGTGACTTATTTCCCCAGGCAAATACAGGAGGATCTTCATCAAACTATGCAGAGAGCACCCAAAACCCTCCAGACGAGAAGTTTGATGTTCGTCATGGTTTGGGTTGGCGAATATTTGATTGCGGCCGCCCGCACCGCGGGTGGCCTGCCAACGCTGGAAGTGGGCGGGACTCACCGTGCGAGGCGGCGGACGCGCCGTAGGGCGAGTGCATCTGCTGGTGGTAGTAGCGCGCGGCGGCGCGGTGGTGCGGGGTGCCGGCGCGCTCCGCGCCGGCCAGGCTGGAGTGGTGGTGCGCGGCGAAGAAGGAGGACATGTGCTCGGCGACGGCCGACGACATGTCCTGGTGGGCGTCGCCGGCGCCGCTGCCGCGCGCCGCCGCCGCCCCGCGCCAGCAAGCGCGTTTGGTCACCCCAGCCGCGCCCTGTGAGGCCCTGCGCCGACGCGCCCGACACGGGCACCCCGGAACGGTGCCACCACGCCCAGGCCTGAGCGGCTCTACCAGCGGTGAGCTCCGGGTGCCTCCCGCTGCGCGACGTCGCCTGTGCATGGGTCCAGCCCTC